AATGGAATGGACAAAGTATACTGTTTGGCAAGTATACTTCGTTTGATTTATTTTCACAAACTTCTTCCAAAAGTTTCACAATCGGGAAAGAATCTTACTGCTCGAGATATAAGAGTTTTAAACGTTTTCAACTACATCCACAGAAGAGTCCACTTACGGTACAGTGGACAAAATTAAGTGGACACATTTTTAGTGAGCAATGAAAAGCTAATTCACTTGAACTCTGATCTAAATTTTATTGAACAAGTTAACAAAAGTATAATATGAAACTCAAAACATTGAAATTCAACTATAATGAAAAGTGTGTACCTGACAATCGGTCAAAATATATTATTTTTTTATAGATTCATTTATATTAAGGATAAATTTATTCTCGTCGCTCCAAATTACTCGTTTCCAGAACCGATAGTGGCCTATTTATATACTTTTTGACGAAATTCAAACGTTTCTTCTTTTGTACTTTGATGATGGTTTAGCCACAAAATTCTTTAAACCTACCTCTTTTAATCTTCGTCTTACAGTTCTTGAAGATACATTTAATCGTAGCTGCTCAACGATATTTCTCGATGTTATCGTTGGATTACGTCGAGATACTCTTACAATTCTTCCATCTTCGTACGCACTTGTGTTACGTTTCCGTCCTCGACCGCGTAAATTATCAACACGGCCATGTTCTAAATATTTTTTATAAATTTTATGAACACTACTCTTGGAAACATTATATTTTTGGGCAATGTTACGGTAACTTTGATTATTCTTGCAATCAGATACAATTATATTTCGCAACCGAGCACAAATTTCTTGTTTTTTATTATACATGTTTATTTGATAATATTAAAGTTTCCAATACGAAGGCTTTACGAATACTGACAATATATTTCGAATCTCATTGTTTGTTTACATTGTTTTTCCGTTAACGCGAAACTCTCTACGTGTCCACGGGTCTAAAGTTCACCAATATACAAACAAATACGTGTTATAAATAGTTATAGGAACTGATTTTATGATTTTATTTGTACATACGTTCCATGTCCCGTTTTATGTTGAAAAATTCAAATTCATTTCCACCATTGTATCTGAACAATGAATTTCCCAACATGAACGTAGCGTCCACTTAATTTTGTCCACGACAATGTAATAGAAACATGTTTCGAGTTCCAAGCGCGTGTCTGGAACTCAATCATCCCGAGCATCCGTCCAACTACAACTTTTGAAAAGAGAGTCGTTCGAGCTTTTCACGTTATTTTAAACGTCTCGAGAATACGAAACGATGAAAATAAAATTCTTCTCCGATTATAAATCACGTATGGAACGCGTTAACAGTAATTTATATTCATAAATCGATATTTTTAAAAAAGAAAAACTTCCTTTGCATATATTATTGCATATATTTATTGCATATTATGCAGTAATGTTAAAATAATTTGTATATTTCGTAACTAGACTATAAACGTTTAAGCAAATTAAAATTTTCATCGTCGAAGAAGTGAAAATAAAGATTCAAAGATGAATATTTTAGTTGAAATATTTTATATATCGTATGTAAATTTTTGAACGTTTTAAATTAATTCATAAACATTTATAATAACGCGCTATTCTTTTTATCTATCGAACGATACAGTCTTTACCTTTCGTGCATTTATATATCGTGCAAATAATTTTGAAAAGATTCAATATACTTTCAAACATCTCTGTTTTTTCTTTCGTCTACGTTAATTAGATTTTCATCGGAAAAAAAATTTATTTACAACTTTGATTTTCGAATATTCCAAGAGATCGAAAATTATTTTATCGCGACAAGATATGATACACCGGTGGACAATAAACATGCAGAAATGAACACTCAAAAGGCAAAGAAAAGATCGAGATGTTTCAATTCTCGAACGTTTCTCGGACAATCTGATTCCCTTTCCCTTCTGCCAGAGTCTCTGGAGAAATCAGAGTTTCCGACGAATCGACTTGGGGAATCCTCGCTTGTTGAATTCGATAAGAGAGATCTTTGGAAATCCATCAGGCTTGCGATACACCTATTTATTCGCAGTTGGGCTCAACCATCGTCGTAATAGAACCAGTGTAATTTCGTTAGAACTCCTCTCGAGCAAACTGTTCGCCAATATAATTGGGTCATCTGGGTTTCTGTAACGCGCTCATGAATTTAAGACGAGATAAAATTGCAGAATCGCGATTTGTGCACACGTTGATCCTTATCGATCTGTAATTAAGCGTAATTGCGAGTTAAACGCGGTTGGAGATCGGTTCACTCCTTTTGCCGAAGGAAGTTTCGAGTTTACTCTACTATGAGATTACTTCTTGGTGAGATTCTTGGGCAAATTTCAAGAATATCAAGATTCCGTAAAGTTCAAAATCTCCGAAAATCTTCGACAGTTCAACGTGGAAATCAAATATCGAGACTTCTCTAATCCACGAAGAAGTTAAACAAGCAAGTGTATGTACTCGATGGATTCCTCTGGAAAACATGGAACTCTGTCTGAAAGATTCGAGTTTTCGAAGCCAGAGTTTGGACAAAATTTATATTTATGTAATATAAATACAATATAATAAATATATAAAGAGCATTCGCAAAATCCTTGATTAAATTTTAAAAATTAATCTTTTTGTTATCGAATTAGAATCACGTAAATTAATTTAGAATGCTTTAAATCGCTATAACTTCGAAGATAATGATCTCCAATTAATGGATGAAAGATCATTAGAAGCGCGGAACTTTCCTCTTTAAAACGCT